TGAGACCTCCCTTCTTTTGGCAGATAGTTTTTGAGGTCACTGTCCTTGACAAAGCAAAACTCAAGTATTCCTTCTGCGCCACATGAGTGTCCCTAGACACCGGACTCTGCGTGTTCCCACAGCTTTTTCAGCACGTAGCATACAGCCAAACAAGAACCAGGCTCAACCCCTGCAACGAGCTGCCCTTGTACTTTCTAACACCACTAAACACCAGCAGAACTACTACAAAAAAAGTAAAAGCAGGAGGACTCGGCAGCACCGGCCCCGTTCGCCCCGCCGGGAGGGTCCGTACCGCAAAGCCTGGCGGCCCCCGCCATCTAGTGGTGACAGCCAGCCCCAAGGCGCCCTTCCCATCCAACCGGGATACTAAAAGCCTCCAGGATTTCAGACTGCACTGTGAGCAACTCACCCGTTTAAGCAGCGACTCCACGGATAAAAGCTTTCCCCCACCCGTGCTGCCAATCCACGGTTCAGGAGAAAGGCGAAGACACCCTGGAAGCAGGGTCAAGGAAAAGCAAAATCGAGTCTGCCGTCAGTATGTCAATCTTTTGGAAAATCTAAAAACAAAGGCTGCAGCAAGTGCTATTGCTGGTCCTTAAATGTCGTAATTGTTAAATAACCCTTGTGATTTTGCACAGAGAAGCTGTGGATGTCCCATCCTTGGAAGTGTTCAGGGCCAGGTTGGATGGGGTTTGATCTAGTGGAAGGTGTCCCTGACCATGGCAGGATGGTTGGAACTAGGCGATCTTTAAGGTCCCTTCCAACCCAAACAATTCTGTGATTCTATGAAAAATGAGAAAGTCCGTAAAAGACCTGCAAATCAGAGCCACAAAGTAAAATTCACAGCTCCCTGACCTTGGCATGCCTCCTCTGCTGGTCGGGAGGAAGGGTGAGGATTTCCCCATTTGGCTGTAGTACCTGTGCCAGTTCAGGTTTGTGAATGTGACCCCAACCCAGTGACAACAGAGGTTGATCAGCATGGTTCTGTTCCCAGAAAGGCAAAAATCAACTTGTGCCAGGACCAGAAGTCACAGCAGACACAGTGCCACCCAGCCACAAACCCAGGAGGGTTTTAGGGGGCTATCAGCCTTGCAGAGAGCAATCCATGCTGCGCTGGTTAGCTCTTCTGTTGACTCCATAGTGCTGCCATGTCCAGCCATAGATCCATCTTGCCATTCCTTTTGCCTGAGGTCGAATCCAGCGTCACTACATGTCAACATTAGCCCTAGAGCAGATGCAGAGCCTTCTCACAGGCTCCATGAATCACTATCAAAAAGCCTCTGTTCCATCCAGCTTTCAGAGATAACACTTTGATTATAAACACCCACAGGGATAACAGAGATGATCAGAACATAAGAGCTTCTGGTTGACATGAAGAATACAGCTAATATACCTGTCTTAAAGCTTTAATATAAATCCCAGCATATTCACACTGCCAACTTCCAGTCTGATCCCACATAAAAAATGTTCATATAAGTACAACCCAAGCAAAACGTAACACTACCTGTGTTTTACAAAGATTGTGTATTTTAATTACGTAGAACGAAGGCCAGGGGAGAACCCCGAAGTGCACGTGGCGCCAAGGCTGGTACCAAGTCAAAACAGCTTTTGGTGGAACTTTGAGCAAAGCTGTATAATGGCATCCTTATTCATCCCACTTGGAACAGACCACAAAGTGGTTCCTTGGGATCAGCACCAAGTCAGAAAAGCAAGCATGTGTTTCACAAACATTTCACTCCAGCTGCCCAGCACTGATTGCTCCCACTTATATTAGCCCCCTCGCACAAAGCCAACTTTCTAAGGTGAAAAGACCCAAGTGCTCAAGTCACGTTAACATCACGACATTTTGCTGCACTCCATTATTAGCAAGTGAGAAGAGCAGGACAATAGCAAAACAGTTTTTTCTCTCAAGATTGAAGATATTGCATATTTTTCTTCAAAATCTTTTTAATGTCTTACAATTCAACAAAGGAACCCAGGATACAATTTATGCATTTTACTTAACAGAAGTAATCAGGGATGAAACATATTCTCGTTTCCTTTTCCTGTACATCTTCATTTTCAAAGTAAGAACTTTCTACTTTACCAACATACTTCTTTTAGAAAAACTATAAAGTCCACAACCCATTTTAGAAGTATGAAGAAAATCAGAGTGGGTGAGGTGGTTTTTGTTGAGTTTCTTTGTTTTGTTTTGTTTTAATTGTTAAAATGAAATTACAACTTTCAAGGATAAGGCAGAAAAACACCTTTACTAACAACTTCTCTAAAAGATATACACTAACCTACCCTTTAAAATGAAGTCATCTGCAGCTATTATACCAGCTAGAATGTGAATTTTGACAAGCCTTCTTTTGCAGTGTTTGATGCTCAAATAAGTGGTCTTATTCTGCAGACAAAATATCATTCAAAAAAAGTCAGAAAATCACTCAGGTCAAATATTCATATCAAGTTTGGTTACTTTATTTTTTATCTGTGCAGTCAGTTAAAAGAACAGTTAATGATGAAAACAGACAACCACAGAAGCTTTAGGTACAGTATTGTAACACTGAAGAAGCAAGTGACCACACTGAACACATTCTTTATGCTGGTCATTTCCAGACAAAACAAAAGGACATACACAGGTCTAGTTCAGTGTAAAACCTGATATTAAGCAGCACGGTGATCACAAACTGCAGCACTGTCACATACAACACAGGTAATTACTGCTTATTCAAAGTTACACAGCCCCTGCAACAATGGTGATATGACTATATTTAAAATAAAAACCCAAAATACATTCAAGAGAATGGCTGCAACAATAAGGCAATAGTTTTAAAAATAGATCCCACTAAACAAAACAAGACCAACTGTGTAACCTGTTGCCTTCATATGATTTCAGACTTGGATGGGTCAATTCAAAGTTAAGTGCTTACCCACCACTAACATTTCGGAAGTACATTGGTAAGAACACCCGAAGACATGAGTATATTGGACTGCCAGCAATCACAACCCAGGTCTTATCACAAGTGCACTCCCACACACAGAGCTTCACTTTTACAGGTTTGCATGAAGTGCCCTGTACAAAGATTTTATTACGGATTCCTTCAAGAAAAAATATGCATTGACAGAAGACATTAGCATTCCAAAAGTCTTCCAAACCACATTATATAATATATACCTTTGGCCTGCTACTAGTAAGATCATTAAAGTTATATACTAGGCAGACAGCATTATTGGCAGCTAACAATGTCACAACAACATTAAAAAAATAGCATCAGCTGTTTAAAAAAGAAGAGACTGAAAATAACTTCGGAGAGTGAAATGTACACCTACAGACAGCAAGGAAGGGAGAAGGAAGTTGTCTGGCTAAAGCAGATGAGCTACCCAGAGGTTCCACATCTATCTTATTGCATATTTGATCAGTGTCAAACCTACATGGATTTTTCCTTCATTATCTTGCTCCAGAATCTTGATTCTTGCACCTTCAGAGCTACCCTGAACTAGCTATGTATATGGATGTAACTTCACATTTCTTCACAGCTCCTAGACGCAGGGACTAAGCGATACTACAAACATCAGCCTTTTGCCATCTTCTGTGCACTAAAGTGGAGTGTCAATATCCTGTGTCAGTACAAAATAAGTATCTTTATTTGTAAGCCTATATTAGCAAAGCTCAATACAAAGATGCCAGTTTCATAAGAAAAATGGACCAGTACTTGGTTAGCACTGATAAACTGAAAGTCTCACCAGGTGACAAGACACTACAGACAGAAAAAAATTGTGACATTAAATTGCGTGAGGCAAACTGAAAGCAGCAGGAAATAGAATCTGATTGGTTTTGCTCAGTTTAAATAAACAGGAATTTTACTAATTAAACAAACAAACAAACCCACAAAAAAACAACCAACCATCATTAGACATTCTCTTGCTAGCACACAGGATAGAGAAGGCTATCAGTATTTCTACATGTGTTTACAGGATATGTGCATAGCCCTGTCTAATCATGCTTCAAAATGTAACCTTATGCTTATACATACACACCAGTAAATAAAACAATGCCTTTTAAGGTTCCAAAGGAAAATCAGGGCTGATGTTACATATTTTAATACTGAAACATCCAAATGATTTTAAATGAATGCCCTCATTAGCTTTTCAACACTATTCAAAGATGACAAATTAAAACATAGAGGCAATAAAAGAGTGCTCTTTTCCCAGACGTAGGCCTACTTGATCAAAAACCGAAATGCCACTGCATTGAGCCGTATAATTGAACCAAACCACAAGTTTGGAGGCCATAGGTTTAAACTTTTTAACAGTTGAAGATATAAGACAATTTTATAGTCCTGATTAAATTTTTATACACAAAACAATTATCCAAACACTACCACATAACCAAATTCTGAGAGAAAACTGAAGCTGTTCAAGACAAGATCTGTTGGTAGTTCTCTCTCATACACACATCAGAGGTGGTTCATGCATGTTCCTCCTCTTCCCAAAATCTCATGCATCAATCTTCAGAGTCGCTAGATAAACAGAAGTGGAGCTCTTCATTCTGAAGTGCAATGTCAAAATAGCTGTATAACTAATTCTCAGAGAAGACAGGAGCAACTGCTTATTACTGGTAAAAATCCTAAAGTCCTCCCACAAACACGAGGTACCAAATTCACTGCTGTAACGCTGTCAGAGTGTTACAGAGATGTCTACCAAACTGGTCAGGGTGCCACAATTGCTTCCAGGAAAAAAAGTGATGTCAGGTACCATACACCTGACTGTAAAGGTGTACAAGGTGAACTAGAGAAGTGCTTAGTATTGAAATACCAAAGATGACACTTCAGAATACTAAACAGCGAGTAGTACATGACCCAGACACCTTCCCATCTCCAACACTAGTTGGACTTGGGAGTAAAAGGTTCAGGAAAAACAAAGAAACCCACTGTTTAACCTGTAACCCTTCTTATGCCAAAACAGGTCTTGCCACCAGATTGCTTTCTTTGCCCCTCCTTGTTTTTTTTTATTTTTTAAAGGAGATAATAAAAACCTCCAAATCATGTGCATCTAATATTGATTTTTTGTATTTCATTTATACTTTTTATATATACAAGAACTTAACTAAAATCTTACTTTAGAATACGTTCTAAAGCAGGATATTCTTTCAACTGTTTTTTAAGTTCATGTGCATTCTCAAGGCTGAAAAAATATATATATTCATATACAGCTAAGGAAATAAAACTCGATTTCACTATATGTAGTTACAGTGCTGTAAAGAAAAAATAATTTAGAAACTATTTCAAGTCTGAAATGTTTACTATGTTCAGACTAATGCAAAGGCTAACTCTATAGTCCAGGACCTGTTTTTCATCTGTGTGCTGAGATAGGAGCTACAGAAGCTCAGCATTTTTCTGATGGAGATTTCTCTCCACCCCTCCATTCTTCCAGTATTCTATGACTTGCTGCTGAAGCCCTCCCTGAAGCTCTACTGGAGTAGCATCATACACTGGTAGCTCAGAAGTCAGGGTCCACAGGGTATTAATGTTACCTCTTAAGTCAGTTTTTCAGTAAGATCACACCACTGAACAGTGCAGAGGTGGTTAACCATTCATAGTTACTCGGGAGTCCAGTGGAGTACTTTAAGTCGAGTCTTCTGCGGGTGCCCTTCGCTGTCGAGCTGATTTCTGTCTACTTCTCTGAGGCGAGGGTGGAGTCTCCTGCTCAGCTTCAGTCTCTGAAGGCTCGTTGTCTCCCTGCTGGGACCCCGTATCACCTATCAATTCTCTCAGGAATTTGAATTTAGACAAAAACAACTGCCACACCACATACCACCCTGCAGGAGAAAGAAAAAAGGTACTGCTTAGTTACTTCATACAAATCGATAGTCATCTATCAGGCAAAGTATATCAGAAAAGGGAGAAAAAATTTGATCAGCTCCCATCCTCTAATTGCCAACCCCAAGAGCCCTCTCCAACACATCCACTCCCTTCTACAACCCTAGAAATACCAATTCAGCTTGATAAAGTTTATCGTCATCCAGAAGCAACATTTAAGCTTCAGGAAAGGACCTACTCATTCCGAATTGAACTGCCACAGCAAGTAGTAGGTGGATGATCACCATCACACAGACAAAGGTCTTAACCACCAGGAGAGAAGGAATTCCTGTGGCTATATCAAAACAAAGACTCGGGATTCATTACACAAGTACTGTAAAAATGAAGCATTGGAATTTCTACCCTCAGCAAACACTTCATTGTGAAAATCACACTTTAAAAGCTGCATTACATAATCACTATTAAGCACACTTGCTGAGATCTTCAAATTAATACCATGTTTTATAATAAATCCTCTTCTGAAATGCACAAGGTCTTCTTATGTTCACTAAAAGATCCCCCAAATTCAAGGAGTTCCCTCACCATGAACAAATCCCACTAAAGTAAAATTAACATTCTCTGGTACATTTGTGTTCTGCTCTACTGCTAAAATGTTCTAGGTTGCAAAATTACCCAACTAAAGAGCTGAGATTTCAGAATCTCTCTTCAAAATATTGAGATTTCAGAATCTCTCTTCAAAATATTTAAGATTCACCTCCTATCCTCTCACTTGTCTAAGTGTTCCTCTAACAGGCAGCCAAGGAACTTAAAAAAAAAACAGATATAAACTTATCTAAACCTAAACAAAAATTTTCATTTTAAAAGATCTCCCTTTTATCTATGTATTTAGGTCAAGAGAGTCTTATGCAGCTAAAAACTACTGATATCCCTTTGTCTCTAGATGACCAGTAAAGTTTCATCACCCACATAACAAATCAACTTCCCTGTGAAATACACAGTTAACTGGAGGAAAATTTAAACAGCTATTTGAAAACAAATGCTATACAACCATCATTTGCACCACCAAAACCCACCTGTCCTGCATAGAGCTATTGATTAATAGCCCCATTCTCTGTCCAGAAGGTCTTGTTAGCTATTCGAATCTATACTGCTGACCTATTCAAATATTAAGAGCCCTATTTTACCCACTCTCCCAAGTACACAGCTCTCATCAGAAACAGACTTCTGAGCACGGACATACTAGAAAAGGGGGAGAAAGACTAATAAGTGGCACTTATATAGCCACAGCACCACTATATCTACTCTTCTGTAACCAGAGCTTAGGACAAAATGAGATCCCACCCTTCCTTTTCTACCTGGAATACTTTTCACATCCTGCATTTTTTTGATTTCCATAATTTCTCTGCTGGTGCTAAAAGTTGGAAGAAAGCTTTTAAATTACAACCTTTTATGACCTAAATTAATTCCTAAAGCTTACACAAGTATTTCCTTTCCCATGAATACCTAAAACTTCAACTGACTCGTGACTAAACTGAATCTGAAAGTTGCTTCCACTGAAGGGTATTTCAGCTCTCTGAGACCTTCAATGCTTTGTGCATTCTGGAGACCTAAAATCAATCCATTCTTCTTATGCATACAAATATCTACGTCCTGAGGACCTCGCTGCCACTGTCCAAGCTCGCTTGGCCCCGGCAGATGAACCTCAGGATTAAAGGGTGGGCTCAGTTCCACACACACTGTGTCTCACCTAAAAAATCCAATGCACAGGCTGGAAGGTGTAAAGACCTTCCCCAGTTCTTCGTTTGCAAAGATTGGCCATTACAAACATCATTATGTTTGTATAAACATTATTATACAAATTTCCAAAAGCCACGCTTGATTCTAGTTCACACAGGAAAGAAATGCATAAAATACCCCAAGTAAATACAGGGCACTTGCAAGAAAGTGCAGAATATTACAAGCTGTTTAAAAATGCCTTCAATCCCCCAATTTGCTGACAGAGACAAAGTTTGAGACACTTGACTTAGAAGTGCATGAGAAGTACATTCTACTAAATCCACTTAAACACATGGTGGGGGGAAATCTCAGCCCCAATTTTTTTCTTGGGGTTGGACTTCTACTTGGCTGTTTAAAATCCTAACTAAAGCACCTACAGTGTGAATTATCATGAGACATATTACTTCCAGAGAACACCACAGGGAGGACAGGGTGGAGGGAGGAAGATGAGCCAAAAATATTCAGGGCATTCCCAGAAAAGTTATAGGACCCTTTACAGAAGCGTGACTTGAATATTTTTGGTGTCAATAAATACTTCTTAAAGGGAGGTATTTTAACTTAAGATAAATAAAGCAAACCACATGCTTTCTCTACCACTGCAAACAGGCTACTTAACACAGAGAATTACTACAGAGTGTGTGGTGAGAAATACTAAAGAACACTCAAAGTTCATTCACACTCTCAAGAAAAACAGCACTAAGCAGCACTAACATCAGACTAAACACAGTGTTTCTTCTGATGAGTTAGAGAGCACAATGGTCTAAATATCCAAAACACTGAGTACCATAAGCAGACTTTAAGTAATAAGCCAACAAGACTGGCTATAGTAGACAAACAACCAGACCAACGACAACAGGCAAGTGAACAAACCACAGCGTAGTAGATTGAAAAGAAAATTACAACAGGTTTAGCCAAAGGTAATAGTGGGAGGGCAACCTCGTAAGATCTCCCTGCTGTACCAGAGACACTTAGGTACAAAGCAATCAAAACGGAAAGATTTTTCTTTCACTTGCTCTCGTTACTGTATCAGCTTGGGCAGAAAGTTAAAAAAAAATAATCCCCAATAAACATGCTTGTCTGAATCAAGTTAAGACTGCCTCTTCAGCTGAGACTCCCTGTCTCCTCACTGTTACTAAACAAATAAGAATTTCCTTGGAAATAATCAGAGTACTAAAGAACAAGTTATTCTGGGTAAGAGAAAATCTCTCCAGCAACAATATCAACTAAATACATCATTAAACAAAACCACACACACAGAGACAAAGCCTGGAGACAGATTCACAGTACTGAGTTACCTCTGATTAAGAAAATGTGTTTTCTAAAAATTTCTCATCCTCTTAAGAACATTGCAAAATGTTAACACCCGGCACCATGCCATACCAAGGAACTGTAAGTTACATAACTGTGTATTTTAAAAAAGAAAATAATTGTAAAGTAATTCAAAATGCACACACAAAAAATGAAATACATTATATTTATAAATACATCAATAGCAAATGGAGGGACAAGGAAAACTTCCATTCTTTATTAGACATGGGGGGGAACATAATTACCAAAGATGAGGAAAAGGCTGAGGTACTTAACTTCTTTGCCTCAGTTTTCAACAATAAGACAGGTTGTCAGGACAACCAGCTTCCTGAGCTGGTAGACAGGGACCAGGAGCTGAATAGCCCCACTGTAGTCAGGGAGGATGCAGTTCCAGGCCGTGAGCACAAACCGCCTGTAGTCAGGTTTGTGCTTTGACTCCACTCACCTGCTGAGCCACTTGGATCCTCACAAGTCTATGGGACCAGATGGGATCCACCCTAGGGTGATGAGGGAGCTTGTGGAAGCCCTCACCAAGCCACTCTCCATCATTTATTACCAGTCCTGGTTCACCAGGGACATCCCAGATAACTGGAAGTTGAACATGACGCCCATCCATAAGGTGGGCTAGAAGCAGGATCCAGGAAATTACAGGCCTGTCAACCTGACTTCAGTGCCCACCAAGGTCATGGAGAAGATCACGTTGAGTGCAATCACATGGCACCTACAGGATGGACAAGGGATCAGACCCAGCCAGCACAGGTTTAAGAAGGGCAGGTCCTGTCTGACCAACCTGATCTCCTTTTATGATCAGGTGACCCACCAGGTGGATGAGGGAAAGGCTGTGGATGTGTCTATCTGGACTTCAGCAAAGCCTTTGACACTGTCTCCCATAATATACTCCTGGAAAGGCTGCAGCCCAAAGCTTGGACAGGGGCACTCTATGCTGGGTTAAGAACTGGCTAGAGGGCCGGGCCCAGAGAGTGCTGGTGAACGGGGCTGCATCCAGCTGGTGACCGGTCACCAGTGGTGTTCCCCAGGGATCAGTGCTGGGCCCAGTCCTGTTTAACATCTTTACTGATGATCTGGATGAGGAGATTGAGTCCATGATTAGCAAATTTGCAGATGACACCAAATTGGGGTGGATTGTTGGTCTGCTGGAGCGTAGGAGGGCTCTGCAGAGGAACCTGGACAGGCTGGATGGATGGGCCAAATCCAATGGTATGAGACATAACAAGACACTCCCTGCAGCACTACAGGCTGGGGACAGAGTGGCTGGAGAGCAGACAGGCAGAAAGGGACCTGGGAGTTTGGACTGACAGGAAGCTGAACATGAGCCAGCAGTGTGCCCAGGTGGCCAAGAAGGCCGATGGCACCCTGGCCTGTATCAAGAACAGTATGGCCAACAGGACCAGGGAAATGATTTTTCCATCCCTTGTATTCAGCACTGGTGAGGCCACACCTTGAGTATTGTGTCTAGTTCTGGGCCCCTCAGTTCAGGAAGGATATTGAGGTGCTGGAGCAGGTCCACAGAAGAGCAACCAGGCTGGTGACGGGACTCAAGAACAAGTCCTGTAAGGACCAGCTGAGGGAGCTGGGGTTGTTTAGCCTGCAGAGGAGGAGGCTCAGTGGAGACCTCATCACTCTCTACAACTCCCTGAAAGGAGGTTGTAGCCAAGAGGGAGCTGGTCTCTTCTCCCAGGCAACCAGCAGTAAGATAAGAGGGCACAGTCTTAAGCTGTGTCAGGGGAGGTTAAGGTTGGATATTAGGAAGAAGTTCTTCACACAAAGGGTGGCTGGACATTGGAATGGGCTGTTCAAGGAGATGGTAGAGTTACCATCGCTGGAGGTGTTTAATAAAAGACTGGATGTGGCACTCAGTGCCATGGTCTTGGATCATAGGTTGGACTCCATGATC